GGTGGTTTATTTTTGGGTAAACGCGTAAACCGCGTTCCCCAACCGATCTTTTTAGGTTGCGTAAAACCTCGAGAAACGAAGTCGCGAAGTTAGAGTGGAATAACCTCGGTTGCGCGGTTCATCAATTTATGTCCATCACGTTGCAACGAATTGGGGGAGATTGATCTGAGAGGTGATACATATTTCTTTGAATAATTTTTTTATTATAGAGGTATAGGAATTTTTGATCGAAAATTTGATTTTAATTTTTTATCGAGGGGATATGTTCGGGAAATTTTTAAATTTTCGAAAAAATAATATTTTGATAAAAGATTATTCAAAATATCATATCTTAAAGTGAGTGAAGTTTGAGATCTTTCGAATATTTTGATCGTAAATTTAATTTCAATTTATATCATGAGCATGTTCTTTTTTGAAAGAAAGACTTGATTATGATTGATCTGTTCTACTTCTTCATTCATCTATTTTTCTGTCAAATGGTTGACTCGTGTTACTTGTTCATATCATCATTGTTTTATCTTAATTTTGTGATCAAAGATTGACTTTGTACTATTCGTAATATAATAATAATTAGAACTAATAGAAGAAAGAGTATTTTGAATAATTTTTTATCAAGTAATAAAGCTTGAGGTTCTTTCTAATATTTTTTTAAATCTTCGAAGAGGTGATATTTTTTTTGAATATGAATTTTTCGATAATAGAGTGGATTTATTAGATTTATTAGAGAAAATTTCGAAACTAGATTGAAAATTTAATTTTAATTTTTATCGTGGGGATATCTTTTGAAATATTTTAAATTTACGAAAAAATGATATATCGAATAATTTTTTTTTTCCACGAGTAATTTTTGAATTGCAAATGAAGTTTGATTGTAAATTCGAATTTAATTTATATCGAGGAAATATTGTTTTTGAAAATTTTTTAAAATCTTCGAATAGGTGATATTTTTGAATCGTAAATGGAATTTGATTGTAAATTCAAATTTAATTCGAGGAAATATTATTTTTGAAAATTATTTTAAATCTTCGAATAGATGATATTTCGAAATAATTTTTCAATTACAAATGGAATTTGATTGTAAATTTAAATTTAATTTAAATTATTTTAAAATTGTTGATTTTTTTATTGTTGATTAATTTATTAATTTTGAACATTTATATAGTTTAATAAAATGCACGATGACTTTGACAAGATTTCGAAACTTGAAGATTCTAATTTATTTTTATTGCAAAAAGAAACACTAAACATCTAATGCTAATTTTTCCTTATTCCTATAATAGGTCAATATATATTTCCATCCAAATAATACAATTCTAATAAAACAAAGTCATTATATTCGAACATATATTATTATTTATATAAAATAAAGGATGCATTATTCACAATTTGTAATCCTTTCCACTGCAATCAAAAGTGAACGATTTATAGAAAAAATTTACTTACTTAATAAAACTAAAGTAGAAATATTCTGATTCTCTTCGTAGCAAATATGATTTTATTTTAGATGTAAGTGGGTAATATTATTCACGAGGAAGTTGAATTATGATCATTCCCGATAAACCATTCATATTCATGTGGTTTAACTCCTCGAGAAAAGAAATTGAAGATCTTTTTAACGGCGGAGAAATAACGAAACAAAATACAGATTCGTATTATCTCTCTTGCTTTTCGAAATTGTCTTCGTTTCGAAAATATTGAAAAATTTGTTTATTTATTTATTTTTTTTTTTT